TAATTTCTGCGGAAAATTTATAAATAAAATGGGATTATGTTTGACAAGAGCAGTGAATAGATGTAACGTATATTCCAAGATAAAAGATTAATAATTAATATTAATGATATTATTATGACTCGTACATAACTTTATATTTATAATTTATAATTAAATATTAGATATTATAATTTTTAATATTTATAAATTTATAAAATTTATTACGCAATTAATTGTTCGTCGTGTACACCTCTGCCGAAGTGTGGTGCACTCGTTCCAGATCGAAATTGGGCGAAACGGTGCAACAACTGTTCGAGATTGCTTTCGTTATTGTTTCGTCGTTTATTTGTTTCGTGCTGCCCCCGCGTGATATCTTTTTTATTTTAGAGCACAAGAGAAAGTCACGTCAGTGGAGCGAGATTCACGGGGATTAACGTTGAATCATGGCAAAGTTACAGCTCTTTTCTTTCCAAAATCGTGGAAGCTTCACTCGACTGTCTGTCAAGGACACGAAGGTAATATCGTGCCTCTCCAATTTGTAATTCTAAAGAGAACGTTTGGTTTGGCTTTCTGGGAAATCGGTAGACACAATGAAACAAGAATGATGAGAATGACAAAAGCAATTTCAACTGAAGAGCCAAAAAATTTCGCAAAAAAAAGTGTACCACTTTGGAGATGACGTCGTAAATATGAACCGAGATCACGTAAATTTACATAATTTTTTCAAGTAAATTTTTCGAGCACACCGCGTTAATAAATATCGAAATACATTCTGGCCAGCGTGGCAGCCTTCTACCACAAGACGGTGTGTTCTTCAAAACAGGCGACACGGTGAAACACGATGTGGACAGGCTGTCGCGAGCAGAAGCAGAAGGTAAAGAAAGGTGTCTTACCTCCAAGTAGCCGACGGGTCCATTGAAGGGATAATCGCCGAGGCGGCGTTCCTCGTCCAAGAATTTCCCGGCTTTTCCATTCACGGGCGGGCAGAACAAGCCGTAATTGAAGCTCTCCTTCAGCTCCTGCAAACCAGCACACCAGCCACCGGATTAATCGAAAACCCATTCCGCCGCGTACAGCGCGGCCCGCCACCCCCGTGTTCAACTGAACACACTATACTATTTTCATGCAACAAGGAACGTAGAAGAAACTCAGTAGAAATTCGAAATCGAATTCGAAACCACTCCCTCGCAAGATTGCGAAACGTTTCCCTCGCCTCCAGTTGATTAACTCGCGGGGGATTTAACTTGCGCTCGCAACTGACTGCGGACCGTAACGAGCGACCGAACCGTACGCAACAATTCGTCGCTTTCTTCTCGAGCTCGTACGATACGACATCGCTGGATGGAGATTATTGAGAAGTAATTAAAATTAAATATTAAACTAGGACTAGATACCCTGTTATATTAATATTTTTATAATTAAATGTTAAATCAGTGAAATGAAGTAACATGGCGGCCTTTTAAACTTTTTCAGGGAAATTTATTCTTTAATTTGATAATCCACGATAGGAAATACTTAAATTGTGTTTATGTATTGTTATTATAATTTATGAATAGAAATATGTGTAAATAAAAATTTTATAAAATAGTATCTTAAATCAAAATGTAGTATATTTAAGAATAAATGATGATTGTAAAAAATTTTACTTTTGAATAATTATTTTTAATATTAATTCGAAAGAGGATTTAATTTAGTAAATTAATTAATTTATTTTAATTGAATTGAGTATTAATTGGTGTACAAACTGCCTGTCAATTTCTAATAGGAATAAGTCGTAAGTAAATTAATTCTTTATTACAGAGTAATACCTAATTTATTATTATTTATTATATTAAATTAATATTATTATAATATATTATTTATTATACATAATAAATATATATAAATCAGGCATTACTAATTTATTTATACCTATATTTATTACCTAACCCCTTGGCTGATTGCGGACCATAACGAGCGACCGAACCGTATACAATAATTCGTCGCTTTCTTTTTGAACTCGTCAATACTCATATAATGTGACTGGATAGAAATTATTGAGAAGCAATAAATATGTTATTTGTTTTGCCTGGGTTATACTTAAATGTACTGAAAACTGAGAAAATATTGCAATTTCGGGACAGAAATTCTTGACGTTAAGAGGTTAAAGTGTGAAACTTCCACTTGTCCTCTGACAGTCGTGAAATTCGTTCTTTTCGAGGATACATTTCCCTCGAAAATTGTACAATTCGTGTACAAAGCGCGTAGAAAGTTTTTTTTTTAATATAATCCACCATGGTCCTGATGATTGAAATTGCTTTCTTTACAACGACCTCTTGAAACTCGGTGTACAATCTTCTCCGTTCCCGCCATTTCGTTGAACTTGGAGTTAAGGTTAGGATCTCTCAGATGTTTGTTGTTTAACTCTAATGCTTTCAACGTACAATGAAATACTAAAGAAAACAATTGTACAGCATTGTGCAACAATCATTGCGAAGAGGAAAACTTCAAAAATTGCATGGCAAGAGGTTAACCACTCGCGCTGGCAACTGATTGCGGACCGTAAAGAGTGACCGAACCGTGTACCAATAATTCGTCGCTTTCTTTTCGAACACGTCGGTTCGAGATTATTGAGAAGTAATAAATTTATTATTTGTTTTGCTTAAATGTGCTCAAAACTCAGAAAAAATACATGCAATTTTGGATCGAAAAAATTCTGAGTTGCATGTCATTGCAACGCAAGAGACTAAACGCTGTTCTTAACGCGACTCTGTTTCGTTCACTTCTCCCGCGCGCGCGACGACAATCTGCCCTAACAATTTCCCGAGACAGATCGATACCTTCGGGACGAACTCGCGAGGAGCAACGCGTGCAACGTCGTTTTCAATGGCTCTCGGCAAAGGGAGAGGGAGGTAATAAACGACGGTGGAGGAATGTTTTCCCATCGTCGTGCAACTCTTTCCATCTCCGCGTGAATGGATATTTTCGTTGGAGAACGAGATACGTCTCGATCGGTTATCTCATCTGCCAGCCAACGGAGAGGAGAATTCCTTTCGCGACGAGACGCAACGAAAGACGAAACGTCGGTCGTTCCACGTCGGCCTCCCTCGCTGAAATAATGCGCCACGATTTCGCCGACGACAGCCACCAGAGCTGTGGAATCCCCCCACTGTTCGTTGAGAATTTCGCCGTCGCATCGTTCATCTATTCGCGTGCCAGCAGATTTTCTTCGCGTACCCCGCCAATCTTTTACCTCGTCTGCGTCTTTACTTTATCACGAGCGTAGGTGCGACGCGTCCGCCATCCTCCTGACGATCGCTGTAATCGTTACAATTCGTTCGTTCCTTTTTCCTCACTAGCGAAGACCGTTGTGGAAATTTTTCAACAAGGGCCCTGAACAAGCGTCGTGCAAGTTTGCTTAAACTAGGTTGGACGTTCTTACTAAATGACGCGCGAAATATTAATATTAATACGAGATCGAGAGCGAGGAATTGAGAGACTAGTCGTCATGAGAAAAGAAAGTTAAACGTTATTCGTCTCTTGGCTGTGAGAAAAGTAATTACAATTTGTTGTTTACTTGAATTAAATTTTTTTCTTTTTTTTTTTTGTGGAAAGTAAGACATATTTGCAAGATTTCAGATTTCGAGACTAGACTTTTGACTTCTACATCAGTTCCTTTTACATCATTTTTTCAAATATTTTCTTGCCGTGATATTGGAGGTTTAGTCTTTTGATTAAATATATTACGAGATTTAGAAACTATAACAATAACTGTTTTTTTTCTTTATTAACGTGTAAAAAATGGTAACAAAAATTGTGCATTTTTAGTAAAATTATTCATAACAATATTATTAATTTATTTATTTCATAATACTGGTTTGTTCGACGTGCAAAGTGCCATTGTGTGTCGTAGCTCCAAGAAATATCTATTATTAAATTCAATTTTCAATTTCTTTTTATTCTTTCCAAATTCGATCTTTCCAAGAAAGAAAGTTTAACAAGAAAATTACGAATGTTCAAGTTTTCTAAGTAATATTAATTGAATTGAACGATAAAATTATTGACTTTTTCAAGGAAAACTTATAAGTTCACAGTAGCTGTACACATTCTTTTCGGACACAATGTAGGTACAAACTTTTAAAAGCGTAGGCCGGTTTAGAGACACTCGAAGTCGATCGTTTTAACGCTGCTCCTTGAGCACAGTGCTGTCTGGCAGAGCAACGAGGGTCAAACTGAATTAAATGGTCCCGTTCAATTCATTGCTGTACGGTAAGCGGAGAATGAATCATCGAACGATGGACTTTGGCAATCAAACACAAAGATATTTATAATCGATGAAGAACCATCGTTCCATTTGAAATCGTACGAATCGTTGCTGTCGCCAAAAGAAAAAAAGAAGAAAAACATAGGAACAGAGAACGAATCGGTAAAATATCGATGTTTTACTATTCGATTACGTTTGATGAAACCAAAATGGCGCGAATACCGGTATGATGCTATCAAAACGACGTTAGGTCGGCAGATGTATTTCGGTATAATGCCGGTAAATAAAATATTAATATATTAGAAAAGGAAAAGGAGACAATGATTAAATGTTTTCANTAAAGCTGCCGACAGTAAATCTGATGACGCTTATACGCGTATCATTTATTATTTCTAATGCTAATTCATCGTTGTATCTCCGTACAATATCAGCCACGATACTCTTACTTAATTTTAAAAGATGACCGATTTCTCCATACGTTTTTCCTTCGTCTCGGTGAAAAATGATTAATTGTCGTACGTCGACAAATCGAAAGAGGAGTTGAAACAACGATTAATCGTAGAATGGAAGAATATTCCGCTAAATTACTTGAAAAATATTACTGGAAATATGCCTAAGCGTCAGCGATATATTATTGAAGTTAAGGGCTACCTAACAAAATATTAACTATCGTTATGTTAACAATTTTCAGGTTCGAATATCGTGGTTCTTCAAATGTCCGAATATTTTTGCCACGCTACATTTCGACATAGTTCAGTTGATTGTTTGATATTAAGAAAAGTATGTGCAATAAATAAATAAAATTTACGTTGCTATAAACCATAATGAATGTTCTATTATATCATTAAAAAATTGATCCAAATTTACTATTATAAACGATCGAAATCCACGACAATATTTTGAATAGCACGATGACCGAATATTAATAAGAAATGAAAAATGCGTTTTCGTCGGTAAAGCGATATATTTCGGTATTTTTACCGTTGTGGACGTCAAATACTGATAAAATACGTGTGAAAATACCGGTATGACCGTATTATACCGGTATTAAAACCGATTTCCCAAACAGCAGTTATATTACGATAATATCGGAGCAAATACCGGTATAATACCTAAACCTCGCAATATTTCGGTTCCAGTCTCTCTGTATAATACCTAAACCACAAAATATTTCGGTCTCCAGTCTCTGCGTAGGAAAATGCGAGAGAACTTAACGAGATCAACAAACTGGAGATCCCTCGATTTCCAGTCAGCCGAAGGCGAATCCCTCGGACGCTGGAGCTTGTACAACTTGTCGGAAATGTTTCGACGGTGCCGGAAAGTCGCCGCCGGCGCGAAAAACGGCCACGAAGAGGCGAAACACGTGCCGGGCGTGCATAGGTGCACGCAGAGACGCGGAGGACTGGTGCATTATCAGCGTGTCGTGCCGTTTACCGTACAAAAACCGTGCGGCTCGGTTGGAAGGGGCGAAAGACGACAGAGAACGAGAAGAGAGAGAGAAAGAGAGAGAGAGAGTGAGTGATCTACCCAACAATCACCGGCAACAATAGCCAAGAGTGGAACACGTGCCAAATTAAAGGCCTCGAACCAAAGATGTACCGAGCGCGTCTGGGTCTCCAGTTTAAAACCTCTCTGTGATGCACAGATGGGGAAGAAGAAGGGGGGAGGAAAAGGAAAAAAGCCATGGAAAAGGAAGGAAAAGCCTGTGGCCGAGCCACAGAGATCCAAACGGACAAAAGCGAGCCCTCTCTCTCCCAGTCACTCCAGCTTATGCTC